CGATCGATTGGATAATGTGGGCCAACAATCACGTGGAGAAAATCTTTGAGTATTGGAAAAAAAAACGTGACTTGCGTGTGTGGTGATTTGGAGTTGAAAAAACAAAATGAGAATTGTTAAGTTGGTGGTTGGTGGGTTGGTTGGAAATTTATTATATCATAAATGCATTTATTATGAAATGAGGGCAATTTCGTCAATTTACATGATAAAATAAGGGGAGGGGTTAGAAATCTGAGGTGAAGGGGTCATGACTCCCGGGTCTCGTCTCAAGCTGTGGTATAGACGGAGTTTCCTGCCTCCCGTCACAAATCCAGAAAAGGGTAGCTAGTGTCCTTAATCGAATGACTTGAAACACTTCTCCGTAAGAAGCACTATTGGATTGGTTGCAACCACACCTACTCTTAGTCTAGTCTTGACCTGGGCTTTTTAGGGATTCCCTGAAACCTGAGCAAGAACCGCTTTCTAGTTGGATTCTTATGAGAGCTCCTCGGCTTCCGTTTCCGCTCCTGGCCTATTGGTTGATGATAGGGTTCCTGTTGGTGGAGTTCCTGCCCTTGGCCTTGGTTCCAGTCTCGTCTCGCATGCCAGTAAAAAACAAAAGGGGGTCAAAAATCCAGAGTGGTTATTGAAAGGGGTCAAAAATCCCAATTTCCCCTTGACGAGTTGGAAATTGCTGGAATTTGATGTTTAATTTGCAATATAATTTTTAGAAAACTTAAATTTGATTTTGGCAATTTCGAATGGTCTAATTTATTGGTCAAACTTAAATTGAATATGTTTATTTTGTAGTGATATAATATTTCATTGATGCCTCCATTATATACTTAAACACTCGTTAACCAAACAATTAGAAAATCTAATTAGAGCAAAAACAACTCATCCACTCCCTTTTGTTCTAATTAAACATTATTAATTGGATATTTATTTAATTGAGAAAATGGTCTATAATGGTGAAGGTGCTAAAGTTTATTTTGGTCCAAAAAGAAAAGTGCTAGAGTTTATTATAATATAGATGCAAGTGCTAAAGTTTTATTTTTTTAATTGAAGGAAGTGATAAAGTTACCACTAAATTATGTTTATAATTTATGTACTTTTAGCAATTATATTTATTAGATAAATTTAAATATAGTTGAATGGATCAAAATGCTAGTAATCTTCTTTATAGATTAAAAGTTTGAATCATCTCATGTTATATATATATTTTTTAAAATATATTCAATGCAACTTAGCAATTTCATATTAATATTAAATTTGGATGGAAAACAACACCATTCACTAATAATAGTCTTTTAATAAGATCTACTTGAAGTATGAAAAATAAAATGAAATTAAAAAAAGTTACAAATTACAATTTGATTATATTCCTTCACAAAATTGTGATTTAGTCAGTGTTGTTTTATTTTCAATAAGGAGAGAGTTTGAATTCGATGAGTTTGAACCTGAACCTCGATATCTTATTGAAACTTTGTTATCAGTGGTTGAAAGAAGCTCCATTGAACTGAAAGAGGAAGAGAAAATAAAACTCGAGTTTCGAAGGAGTTGATCGTGACTTGTGCCTTTATTAGGCAGCCAACTTGATTTTAGTCCTTATATTTTCAAAACAAAAAACCGTAGGCCACCTATTTCTAAATTTGATAAACTACTTGATAGATGTGGTTTAAAACAAGTCACAAGTCTCACATAAAATTTTTATTAAATGAAATATGAGAATTAACAATAAAATTATTGAATCTTTTTTTAGTACAACATTTAAGAGTGTGGGTGAGGAGTCGAACTCACAACGAGGTTGGAGATATATGTCAAGAGCTATACTCGCTTTGGCTATCAAAATTGAATCCTAAACTTGAATAAACTGAGAAATTAATACCTCATCAAAATCAAATTAAAAAATCTTTCCAAGAATCAAACAAAATCCAAACCATTAGAACACTTAAAAAGAAAAAAAAAGAGCTACCAAAAATAATACTTAACACAGTCATAAAAATTAAGTACTCCAAAAATATTCAAACCTGACCAAAAAGTTAAGGGGGTTTGTGATCAAGGGATTCGTTAATATGTTAAATATTTAGTTCAAACCTAAAATAATATTAATTAATTTATTAATATACGTGTTATAAATTTTGTAAAAATATTATTTTACATTATTATCTAATTTATAATATTTACATTTTAATCCTTTTTTTTGACTTTTAACAAAAATAAAATGGGTTTATAACATGAAATAATATAATTATAAAAAAATTTATCTTTTTTTAATGTAATTCTACGTTTAAAGTTTCAAATACAAAATCTATAAACACTAAAAATTATTTTCATAATTTTCACTATTTAAATGGCAGAATCTGAAAACAATTCTAAAAAATAAATCTGCCAAACCTGCCCTAAACATCTGATACATCTAGAGAGTAAACACAAAAAGTAGCCTCATTCAACTACAAAATTACCCCCAATTAGTCCAAGCCTTTAAAGAAAATTCAACTAACAGAAAAAGACTAATCTCACTACTTATTTAAATTTAGAAACTAATTTGACCAAATAAAATTTTAAGCTTAAATTAAAGTTTGTGTCTAATAAATCTACAAGTTTTAAAAAGTGTATAATAAGTGTATAATAGATCATTAAATTCTCAATTTTGTACCTAATAAATTTCTGAATTTTAAAATGTAAGTTTCAATTTTATGTCTGATAAGTTTGAATTTTAGAAAATGTCAATTAAGTCCGAGACCCATTAGATACAAAATTTAAAACCCAAAATCCTATTAAACATAAAATTAAAAATTTATAAATCTATTAGACACTTTTAAAAGTTAAATAAAAATATTATTTTATCATTTTGAATTTATAAAATGTATAATAAAAAATAAAAAATAAATATAACTTAAACAAAGTTTTGAATATTTATTTTTAAAATTGATTTTTCATATAAAATATTTATCTTTTTTGTCAACCTGGTTAAGATATATTTATCTAACCAAATGATCGTGAGTTCAAATTCTCGACCATTTACAAAGAAAACAAGAACAAGAACGATACAAAAAAACAAAGAAACATATGAATTTGGTAATGTGGTATGAAATTCAGTGCATCCCTACCTAGGGAGTGGTTCCAACTTTACAAATTAACAAGTTTAATGATGGTGTTTTTTTTTATGAGAGTTTAATAATGGTGTTGGAAATTGGGAAATGCACCTATCATCTATTATATTATCTTATATTCTATGATCCCATCTTTGAAATAAACTATAGAATATAATTAGAGTGTGTGACTTTGGAAACAAACATTCTTTTTTTTCCATCCACTCTTTTTCTTCCTTCACCAAACCCAAATGGCAGTCTTTGTGAAATCTGAATCAGATGCCCCTCTTTTCTTTCACTTTAGCATCTTCTACCTCTAAACCATCTATCTAAATTCACCCCTTCTATCTTTTGACCGTTACACGAATATGTGATTCTTTGATAATCTAGATGTAATTCAACTAGTTAAAGATCGAAAGTTTGAACCTCTATCCCTACATGTCGTTAAACTAAAAAAAACACCTGATTGCTCATTTCGTATCGTAGAAGAGTTATGTCTTTTCCAACTCATCGCTAGATAAATATAGGAAGTGTATATAGGAAGTGTATAGTAGATTCCTGAACTTTCAATTTTGTTTCTAATATGTTGTTTAATAAGTGTCTAATAGATCTCTAACCTATTCAACATTTTTTCAAATTTATCTATTAGATACAAATAATTATAATAATAATAATAGATAATGGCTCTTTCGATTTTGTGTCTATCAACTAAGCATAAAATTGAAATTTCAGACCTATAAAACACATCAAACTCGAGTTTAAAAGTTTACAGTCTAAGCTTGTAATTCAACCATAAATATACCATGAAACTTTATATGAACATTAACGATATAGACAATAGAGCATGGAAATAACAATGCAATCTAGAGAGAAGGGATGTTTTCAAAGAATGCTAATTGATCTCTTCTATGTACTAAACTTAAACTTAAAGGGGGATTGAAGTGTTAGAATACATACCATTCTTGAAGCTTAAATAGCCCGAATCTTTCATCGTCGACCTTGGTTGGTATGCTCGTACTTCGAGCCAAGTCTATGGCAAGTTAGATACAGGGTGAATCGGTCTCTTCAAACTCGGAGCTTGTCAACTCAAAATGGGAGCATCTGTATTTGTAGATACAAAGTGCTGGATTTTCTTTCATTTCCTAATAGTTAGAGAGATTAATATCAGAAATCGAAAATCGTTTTCAGCATCCAAGGCTCGTCATGATGCGCGAAAGGTGGTCGACAACGACTTCTGGATTGGCACGTGATCCCGAGAGATTAATGGCGTAGTACTCCAAGCCTTTCCACTGAGCAATCAATGCAAAATGAGGCCTTCTAAATAGACTGCTAATGATTTCCAAGATCACCGTTTTTGGTAAGGCAGATATTATGTGAGTGAGACCTGCACCGTGTGCCCCGATAATGACCGAGGCGTCTTGGATGGCTCGGAGTTGTTCCTTCATCGACATGTGTGCGAACAACCCGTTCACCAGGTTTACTTTACACTCTCTGTGACTAGATGCCCAGTTCTGCAAAGACTCAAAGACTTCTTGTTCATTGCTAAGTCTGGATTCAACCTTACCACCATGACGGGGATGGGCTAAGTAATCCTCACGGCGGACGAAGAGAATGTTGTGAACTGAGGGTGGCCTTTCGACTTGTCTGTCAACTGGGAACCCAAAAGCTGCTCTAACCATTTCTCCAAACTCAGATAATCTAGCAGTTTTTTGGTCATCAGGTTTAAGCCAAAGATCATGAGCAGACCCTCCATGACAATTGATCCCCTCGGTCAGACCCTTGAATAGCGCAGTTTCGTATCCTAGGGGCGAGAAGATCACATGGCGAAAACAAACCGGTGTGCTGAAATTTTTGGCATATTTAAGACTTGAAAACAATGCCCTCCATGTCTCTTCCAAAGGTGTCTTAAAATATTGAGGAAACAACAAAACATAGATATTATTTTAGTATCTTTCTTTCTTGCAAATGAAGCTTACATACAGATAATACTAAAAAAATGTGGCATTATATGACTTCAAATCGCTATCCATCTACATGGAAAAAAAAAAAAAAAAAAAAAAGATGGAATCACCCCAAAACTTAAAATAAGTTGAACCAAACCTCATAACTTTTAATTTTCTTTCAAAAGAAGTCTTCAAATTCAAATACCATCTATGTTGATGTTCAAATTTAAAACTCCACCCCGAGTTTCCATTTCGAATCAACCGAATTACTTGCCCCAACCCGAAAAATCGAGAATCCATTCAAGTGCACCAAGTATGTCTAGTTATCTTCAAGTTTTTCACATCACTTTCATGAAGCTATCAAGATCTGAAGAATTCATATCTATAGATATTCCCAGTTCCACATCTTTAAAACTCCAAATCATCTCTTTCTCAGTTTTCTTCTACTAATCCCAGCCACCAAACTTTGTGTTAATCTCCAAACACCTTATCCTCAATAAACCAAACAAAAAACAGCAGCCTCCATTCAAAAGGAAAGGAAAAGAGAGCTAAGAGCTTCAGAGAATTGGAGATGTACCTTACAATGCCCGTCGACGAAGACCAGATGAGGTCGATTAGGCAAGCCAACAACCCTCGAACTCACATAAGCGCTATACCAATCCGTAACCGTGTGAAAAAGATTTGCATACTCGAATCGCGTCACCAGAAGCACGGGCTCGTCGATCCACTGTAAACGGAGCCTTTGATTCAGAAACCATAGAAACAACCTTAATTTCGCTGAAGCTCAATATGGAATAAAGTATCATGATGAAGAAGACCAAGTCCAAAATGAAACTTGATTGGTTTAACTGATTATTCAATTGCATATTATATTTGTTAATGTCAGTCCAGATTAGAGATCAAAAAAGACAGAGTGAAGCCAAAATGTTTGCAGTTACTAAATCTGCTCTTTCTCTTACTAAGAAGTTTCTATTAGATTCATTAATTGTGTGCTAACAAAATACTAATTAATTCCAAGTTCCCAGAATGTTGATTCAGAAGTCAGTATATAAAAACCCCAGATCACAAAAACCCATAAAATTTAATATTCTTGATTCAAACATGAAGAGATTCAAAAGCTAATACTCTAATCCGAAAATGGAAGTTTCATAACTTCCAAATTTTGTTTAAAAAAATTGCAAATGCTTTGCATAAGGTCTAGTTACTTGGGCATTGGAATGGAAGAACAAAAGCTCCAAAACCCAACAAACTTATGCCTCAAATCCCAAAATCACAAAGACCCATAAAATTTAATATTGTTGATTCAAAATTGGAGAAGCAAACGCTGATACTCCCATCAGTTTCAGATTTAAAAAATTGCAGAAATGGAAGAACAAAAAAGCTCTACCTCTTGGCATTCGAAATGATTTCCTTGAAGAACTCGAAATGAAGCAAACAATGCGCGCATGGTGTGCCTCTGAACCTCCCCTTCCGGCACGTACTGATCCAGAAATTCCCTGCTCGCCAAAACCCTCTCCTCGCCGGCGGAGTAATCACTGCCGTCAAGCTCAAAAGCGCCGCTCTGAAATTCCGGCAACTCCTCCTCTTCTTCCCTCCCGATCACCTCCTCCAGGCGCTCG